TTCTCTTTATGTAAAATATTTTTATTACCAATTTTTTTCAACAGACAAAACATAACCAAACAAAAAATAGACACAGCAATAGTTCCAAATAGGGGACAGCAGGATCTCTCCAGAATCATAAAAACAAATAGAATATAGATTGGAAACATAGAGTGGTAATTGTAGATCAGATATGTACAGTCAATATTTCAAGTCAGCTTACAATGTTTTTAACTGCGAAGAGGCAGGCATCTTCAATACACCTCCAACAATCCCCCCCCCCTTTCTGCAAGCCCAGCACCACCTAGGTCATGGTCAAAAATAAGGTCTCTGGCATGGCTATTTGTGTGTGTGGGGGTTAATTAAGGGGGCGGGGGGCCCAAATGCCCGACTGTAGCTACAGGCTTGAGTAGCATCATAGAAACCAAAAAAGATTTTCGTGTATGAACTTTTGAGAGTCTTAAGTTCCCTTCGTTGGATACCTCTGGACTCTAGTCCAGCAGATACCAGATGAAGGAATCTGACGAATGGAGCTTAAACTCTCGAAAACCCGTATCCCGGAAATCTCGTTGGTCTCTAAGGTGCTGCCGGACTCAAATCTGGCTCTTCTACTGCAGACCAACATGGCTGCCTGCTGAAACTGGCTTTTCTATAGTTCCCTCCATACCTATTTCATATTACTTATTCTTGGGACCAGCGGATAGCCTAGTATGGGGGGAGAGCTCAATTTCCCGGGAATTGCTAGGCAGAAGATCTTCAGAGAACTGGGAAAGATCTCCTGGCCCCTACCAGGTTGTTCTATTTGCCACCGACGACCAGGCATAAGCAAGAAGAAGAGATTAGATTTATACCCCACCCTTCATTACCAAATGGAGTCTCAGAGCGGCTGATAATCTCCTTTCCCTCCCCCTCCCCACAACAGACACCCTGTGAGGTAGGTGGGGCCGAGAGAGGTCTTTCAAGGACTGCCCTTGAGAGAACAGCTCTGAGAGAACTTGTGACTGACCCAAGGTCACACCAGCAGCTGCATGTGGAGGAGTGGGGGAATCAAACCCGGTCCTCCCAGATGAGAGTCCGCACTCTTTTTTATATATATATATTTTATTTTATTAATGATTGCAACAAAATTCAAACAACATACAATAGCAAAACTAATAACTAGTATAGCAAATGGTACATAGCAAAATGTCAGTTAAGTTAGGTAGTGTACATTCACATTTCAAGCATATAGGACCAATATCTATAAGAGCTATATACAGTTTACTGTCTTATGATATCTGCTGCGATAAGAACTATAAAGTAATATTGTATAGTACTGAGGAGAACTCTGTAAGGTGAGGAACAAGAAATAATAGCTTTAGTGTAAGAACAATCACATCCACTTCTGTAGGTGTTGCCAGGAAGTAGGTAAGTATTCCTGTGAGGTTAAAAATTCAAGTATGGGGGTCCACTTTTCCCTTATAGGACGTTGTATTGGTTTCATAGCTGAGTTGTTTGAGAGTCCGCACTCTTAACCACAACACCAAACTGGCCAACACCACTTTTCGGTGATCATTTTAAAAAACAAAAAAACGAAGCGGCTACAGAAGGTTGCCAGCCTCCAGGTGGGGTCTGGAGATCTCCCGGAATCACAACTGCTCTCCAGATGACAGAGATCAGTTCCTCTGGGAGAAAATGGCTGCTCAGGAGGGAAGCATTTTACGTGGCTGAGGTCCCTCCTGTCCCCAGGCTCTGCCCCTGAATCTCCAGAAATCTCCCTACCTGGAGTTGGCAACTGTACTGCCACATCTCAGGCTGACACCTGGCTAGCCGGATCTCATCAGATCTCGGAAGCTAAGCAGGGTCAGCCCTGGCCGGTATTCGGATGGGAGACCACCAAAGGAATACCAGGGTCGTGACACAGAGGCAGGCAATGGCAAACCGTCTCTGAATGCCTCTTGCCTTGGAAATCCTACAGGGTCACCGTAAGCTGGAAGTAACTTGACGGCAAAATAACAGTAATAAAGAACCAGACCAGGAGGGATAAAGCACTGAGGCTCCTAACCTAAAGGATCCGAACACCAAACTTCTGTGGCATACCTTTGGCATGACCCAATTCCCCCTGCTCTTCTGGGCCAGGAGAGGCCATTGTGAAATTCAGAAGTTTCAAGCTTTCAAGGATTCCGAGAGAGCACTCGGAGAGAGCTCATTAGCATAACTTATTTGCATATGCCACACCCCGACATCACCGGAAGTGTGTCAGAAGGCAACACCCACCGCTCAGGCTCCACTGGACTGTTTTGGATTGCTAGCTATTGGGGGGCGGGGAACGTGCAGATCTGTCCTCACAGAGGAGGGAGAGCTTGTACCTGAAGGCGGGCCGGCGGGGGGGCTCTGCAACTTATCTGGCTGCTTCTTGCTCCTCGTGGCCCGACTGAGGGCTGCTGGGAGCAGGGGGCGGGGCTTGTTGCATGTGCCCGCCCCCTGGGCTCCTTACTGCTGGAGCTCCGCTCCTGTGTGCTTCTGCAGGAAATGACCCCTGGAGGTACAGAACTTTCCACGAACAGAGATGGCCGTTACTAGGAGACTATTTCAGCGTGAGACGAGAGGTGTAGTCTAGCAGCCAAAAAAGCAGCTGTGACCAGTGTTCCCTCTAAGCTGAGTGAGTGTGAGCTAGCACACAGTTTTTTAGCCTCCAGCTCACAGGTTTCTGTCTCAGCTGAGGAAGGATGGATCCAGAGCAAACTCATTTATGCAGCAGCCAAATTGCTCGTTCACAACTTTAATGCCAGCAGTTCACCAAGTAGGATTTTTGCTCACAGGACTCTCCACAGCTTAGAGGGAGCCTTGGCTGCGACCCACAGGGTGGCGAAATTCCTGGAGATTTGGGAGATGGCGTCTGGGGAGGGCAGGGCTTGGGGAGAGGCCTCACTGGGGTATGAGACCATCGAGTCCACCTTCCAAAGCAGCCATTTTCTCCAGGTAGGTTTTCCAGCTCTGGGTCGGGAAATATCTGGAGATTTTGGAGGTGGAGCCCGGGGAGGGCAGGATTTGGAGAGGGACCTCAGCAGAGTATAATGCCACTCTCCAAAGCAGCCATTTTCCCCAGGAGAACGGATCTTGGTCATCTGGAGATCAATTGTAATAGCCAGAGATCGCCGAGGGCCACCTATTGGGTGGCAAACCTGTCTCCAGGGGGACTGATCTCTGTAGTCTGGGGGTCCCTGTTGTGATTCCGGGAGGTCTCCAGCCCCCACCTGGAGGTTGGCAAGCCAACATTATATAAGACACTCCCTGCCAGGTCTAGCCCCCTCCCCATCTAAAACATGGAGAAAACCCCGGCTGCCTCACAGGGCTATTGCCAAGATCACACACGGAAAAAAAATCTGTTAACACTTTTTTTTTATTGCTGTTAGCTGACTCGGGATTTTTTAAAAAAGAAGTGGGACACAAATATTTCAAGTAGGAACTCATGTA